ACCAGGAAGTTACAGTGGTTTTGCTGAACAATAGTATTCTTACTTCAGCTGGTGGAAGGGCAAGACTGGGGCAATACAATTAAATGAAGAATGTTAACGAAATGAAAACAAAATAAGGAATATCCACAATAAGCAATTAAGAACTGCTGGGGAGCATAGTCCAACCTTTCAGCCCAAGTGTCAATACTATTTGGAGGACCATGACACTGAGAGTTCAGTCCAAGACCACTCCTGAACTGGGCCAACCAGCAGCCCCAACATTTCCCAAGGTGTGCTTGGGAGCTGAGGAAAGTCCAGGGACCATTCCTAACATCCTGTTTACATGAATCATGTCTGCCAGGTCTTCTTTATCTTATCTTTTTATAACAGGGGTCAGGAATATTTTTCTTTTGAGGTTTTAAGCTGGTCCTTAGGGCACCTTTTATTCCATGCACTAGCTGGTTGTCAATTCATTTTGTTTTTCCCTTTTTCCCCTGATTGCTGTAAGGGTTTGAATGACAGCAGTACTCTCATGTTTTGGTTGATTGTAGCTTACAGGAAAGCTAGCAAATGGATGATTATCTACTTTTAATCACTTTGGGTTTAAATCCACTGATTTCAGAGAAATTATTTCCAGTCCACCAGAGTAAATGGGAGCAAAATTTCAGTGACAGCTTCCAATGACGATCATCTCTTAGCTTATATAATTATCACTCAGCACGACTGAAATTGCCTTGTATCACTGTAACCAGCTCTTTCTTCCTTCCCCATCACTTCACCCCAATGCCAGGCAGTTTTCTGGTTAATCGCTTGTTTTCTTCCTTTTTATTTTCTACAGTTAATACACACATCAGGTATCTTCACAATTTTCTGAGCATCACCTCTTGTTAAATTGCTACCCCAAGCATGATAAAGCTTTTTGAAAGTGTCTTCACCTGGTCAACCTCTCCCTTTCTCAGGTGACATTGGCCTATTTCAGTAACACAAGCTGTCCCTTTAAAAGGGGGGAAAAAAAACAACCATCCTTCTACTTTGCAGTTCAAGTTATCACTGCCAAAAGAATCTTCCAGCCCTGACCTGGCTTGCCACAGAGTCATTCCATGAGGGATTCAACGGGCACTTTGTTTGCTTATGATTGTGTTACCTTCAGTTGGTCCTCCTGGGATTAGGATGACAATTTTTACAAGATTTTAAAGCAAGATTATCAAGTCTGTCTACTTCAAGTCTTTCATTAAGTGATTATTAAGACCTGGCAATACCCTCCTGTTTTATATAGGCTTGGAGATAATCATCTTTGTCAAGAAAAGTTGGGTAAGTTGATATCAGCTATTCCAAATCTCAGTAGTTTGAAATGTATTTGGAAGGAATCATATTGCCTGTGCTACTATTATTGAGTGAGAACATAAAAAATGAAATGTATTTTGATTACAATCGTCTAATTCTCATACAAATAAACCTGAGCTTAAAAAGTGGTTATAGCAATGTAATGACGTGTGTAATTCTAACAGAGGCATATTTTCATATTAATGGAATGTGGAATATTTCTTTAAACCTGGTGTATCATGGTGTGTTTAAAATGAGAGGTGACCTTTAGATGGTGAGACTGAACAAAGGTAAGGAAATTAATAATCAAGGAATTTCCTTTAAAAAAAAAAGCAAAGACAATTCTTTGGTCTTTTAAATTCCATTTTGCTCTGTTTAATGTAGAGGTGCGGGAAAACTACTTGATATCTGTTTGCATTCTATTTGTACAGACAAAAAAGGAAAACATGATTGCCTGCCGCATTAAAATGAGTTCAAACGAAGCATAGCTCATAACCATGTTGCTTTAAAATTACTGCTAATCTAGAATAGCACAGAAGTATTTAATAAAAGGTCTTCATAAGTACACAAGTGGAATCTGAACTGGATTAAACTTTCTAGTTCAGCAGTCCAGAGAACTCTGGATCAGCAATCCTGAGTAAAATGTATTCTAGTATTGTTCAGCTTAAAATCAACACACAAAAAAGGTGGATTACTACATCCAGTACAGGCTAAGGAGAATTTGTAGCTAAAGGCCTGACCTGCAGCCTATCAGATAAATGTTTGAAAGGCAAACATTAATTGAAAGTCAGTTTATGGGATTTTTCTGCGTGCTCATGGTTGTGTGACACCTGCTCCTTCAATGCCTGTGAATTGTGCTATCATTTGAAGTGGAAATTGTTAGTGATTTTTGAACTGGAGTTCAGGAAAGGTTTCCTGTTTATTATCCGGAACGTATTTCAGTCATTACAGTAGTGTTGCTTGTATTGGCAAACAAAAAAAGATACAGCTTCAAAGTAATTAAATCCTGTCCTGATAGATTAAAATTTGTAAATCAGATAAGCACAGTAACACAAACATGGCATATATCCAAGAACTAATATTACTATTAAGCACGGTGCTGGAGATAAGATGGGTCATGTGCAAGTTCCAGGAGTACTTCTCACAGATGCCTTTAAAATTTAATTGGACAGCACAAATGTGTTAATGCTTGAAAAAATCTTGGAAAGCAGTGAAAACCTAATGTTTCAAATTTAAAGTGCTCTTTAGCTGTTGAGAAGTAGTGGCAGTCTTTCCAATGCACTGTTCTCAGAAATAAAGTTTCTCTACAATTTCCTCTTAAGCACTTATAGTCAGGGGATACCACAAAGATAAACCTGGAAACCAGACAGAACATTCTCCTATGAATGGAGAATTTTCCATTGATTCTATAGCAATTTTACTTAATATTTCTATTCTAGAACAGAATTTGGCTTATGATCCATCCTTCCAGGTTTGAATGATATTCAAATCACTAGATATTTTTTCTTGATGGAGTCTGTAGCATGTAATGACATCCCAATTAAATTTGCATGAAATGGTCACGCTAATGCCTGCTCTGAATTTGTGCTGCAAAGCAGTGCTGTATGTGGAGAAGGTTCTGTGTGCTGTTAGTGTGGAGGAGCAGCTCAGTGGGGCGGGCAGCAGAGAGCTGCAAACTCAGATGAGCAAAAAAGCATTTCTCAGTGTCTGTCGGATGCTTCTAAGCACAACTCAGTGCTTCTTCTTCTTCTTCTTTTTTTTTTTCTTTTCTTTTTTTTTTCTCTTTTTCAACAGTTCCTTTTTTCCTCTCTCCCAGTGTGTTTTGTTAAGACAGTTCTTTCATTTGTCCTCCCTGCTCTGCCCCTTGGAAACATGCTCTCCCTAGCTCTGTGTTAGCACGCTGCACCAAATCCATTGCAAAACAATTTTCCTACCACAGACAGCAATGGGACATAATAAATAAATAAATCAGTAGTGAAATCTGATTCACTTCATCAAAAACACTGATTGACATCTCCAGGGGGAGGTTAGTGGGGCAGGGGCTGTCCTCCTCTCCCACCTCCTTTACTTGAGATTCTCTCTTGCCACACAGCCAAAATCTCCATGAAAGGCAGAAGTTTGGGCTCTTCTCCCAGTCTGAGCAGCAAAGACCCTCCAGCCAAGGCCAGCTTTATGTTTCAGGGGCAATACAGTGGCATCAGTGTTGTTGGCTGTGTTTTTGTCCGTTGAGTCAGCACACACAGAGATAGCATGGGCAGTGCTACCTGGTCATACTCCGTGTGCAGGACGGGTTCACAAGAAACATGTAGGCTGGGGTCCATGGTCCTCAAACACAAAATTGTCATTGCAAAATTCACAGAGCTAAACTGACCTCAGTCACCCAGTCCAACAACCCTCTCAACCCACTTCCTCTGACTGAATATACCAGCCACTATAGCCCTTCTGCTGCAAAATGATGTAGTTACAAACCTCCCTTGAGGTTGACTGCCTTGCTCTCCATTTCACATTCTTGGCTATTTTACCCAGACTGTGAAATCTTGGGAATGAGATTTGGACAAAGCTTTCTCTCAGCCTCAGCCCATAGCCTGCACGTGCTATGTGGAAACTGTGGATGAATATAGGTTTGAAGTCCAGCAGCTAGGATTAGGCAAATAAACTTAATAGGTAAGTACTACCTAGAAAGTTCGCAGAGCTTTCAAATTTGCAGTGCTAGTGCTTAAACGCTTCTGACACATAAGCAAGCAAACACAGATGTTTCAAATACAGAATAGTTTGGTATTGTTTCATCATTCCATGGAAGGATTTCTTTTTAGAAATGCTAAGTACAAGTTAACTATTTTCACTATGTGTTAATTCTCTAGTGAATTAAATATGGGTAAGATGTTAAACATGATGGTAACAGTCTGTTAATCAAACAGTGTTACCTTCAAGATAATGGTTCACTGTATACCTGTAGGATTAACTACTAAGAGAAGAGCTAGCTGATATGAAAAAAGAATTGGACCTCTTTCTGCTAACTTTCATACTCTTATTTTCTGATAGATGCATAGCTGTTTGGCATTTTTCATTTTGCAAAAAAAAAAAAAAAGGGGGAGGAGGAAGGGGAAGGGCCACATTGGGCACATTCCTCCTTATTTTCTAGCCCCCACTAAGGCAGCACAGGATGTATCTTGGTGGGAGTAATTAAATGTAGAAACAATTCTGCAAAAAAAAGAGCTCATCTTATGTCTGCTCTGAAGTTGAACCTAAGTAAATTTATCTTGCTTCACCAAAGGTTTGGGAACCTGATGTCTCAGTGTGCTGTGGGTACAGTTTATCCAGAAAGAGGACTGTGTAGGTAACCTCACTGAGTATTGGCCTTACATTGCTCCAGGGACGGTTCAGGTTAGATATTAGAAAAACTTTATTATCTAAAAGAGTGGTGAGGCATTGAAGCAGGCTGCCCAGGGAGGTGGTGAAGTCACCATCCCTAGAGCTGCTAAGAAACATGGTCATGTTCCCCCCATGAGGGACGTGGTTTAATGGGCATCGTGGTGATGGGCTGATGGTTGGACCAGATGATCTTAGTGGTCTTTTCCAACCTGGATGATTCTATGATTCTTTGAGTCCCAGTAAAGCCCAACAAGGGTTGGAGCAAATCACACACTAGAAGCAGTAACAATACCAAAACAGTATTTCTTTCTCCTAGAGCAGCCAAAACCACTGGAAATTGGAATCCATGATGAGGTGGCTCTATTGGCATGTGCCTGCAAAGTTGAGTCTGGGATTTCTGTGTCTCTTTCTCGTTTGGAACATAGGTAAGGATGATGATTTGGTGCTCCCAGGGGAACAAAAAAGGTATGTTTTTTTTCAACTTCTCCCATGGCCTGAGAGATTTCTCCATTCTTGCATTTAGGGCAGGCCTGGTACTCTGTTCTTTCACACTGCACAGGCAAGTCTGATGGGCTGGACCTATCAGCTAGATTGTCAGTCTGAATTTAGTGCATACTAAGTGAGATGTTAATGCAGCTGATTAGAACTGCATGGGTAGCCATGACTTATGGACCCTGTACCATGGATTATCCACTGGTTATTTTTCACTTGTATACATACAAGAAACATATCCTTCTCTGTAGAAGACCTAGATATTTTAAGAATAAAGAAAAGAACCCAGATTTTTTACATATTTAGGTCAAAACAGCCAGACTGTGCAGTCACATCTCCTCTTCCTTCTGCTTTTCTGGTCCTCCAGCATTTCTCTTGCTGAAGAGGAAACTGGACCTGGCTTCCTACCGTCTGGTGAGAGCTCTGTCCATGGAGTTGTAGGGCTGATAGGAGCATCACCACTGAAGCACCAGCTCCAGCTCCACGGGAGTTTAACATAGCAAGTGTTGGCTCTCTTGGGTCGCCTTCTCTCTGGAGGCTCTCAGCTCTCCACTGATGGGGTAGGGAGCTTAAGCTGAGTCCTGCACTACAACCTGTCTGCCATCGCTACTTTGCATCTTACCCTTGTTCACTATCAAGCCCTTGTTCATTATCTAGAGAAAGGAGCCTTAACTGCTGAGCCCCACTCCAGACCGTTCCCCAAAACACAGCCCTGAACATCTGCTCTTCATAACAAACTTACATGTAGATCTCTTTTGAGTTAGCCTCATTTTACTTTATCCCTGTCAGTCAGTGTTGAGTACAAGCCCAGATCAATCTGTGAAAACAGTTTTCTACTAATTTTTATTTTTTGATTCTCGAGTTAAGGGGGTGACCTGATAATTAATTCATTTTCCCATTTAAGTGACAGCTAATGAACCAGGAAAGTCTTTTGGGAAATGCTTATTGCTAGGCACTTGATCTCCTGCTGTTATGAATACTCGGTGTGCTGCTTTGCAGTGCTTGTGTCCATTGGTTTCTGTGCCATAATGAAAAGAGCAGCAAAGTAACCCCAGCAGAGAGCTGCATTGAAAAATACTTGGGAATTTTTTTTTTTTTTTTTTCTCAGACTCTTTCTTTGCTTCACAGCTTCATGCATAAGAAGAGAAAACAAGAGAGAGAAGCAAGCAGCAGTTCTGGCTACTGCAGGTAACATCAGCACATCAGGAACCTTTGACCCTGTGTGTGGCCACTGATGGAAGAGGGTTGCATTAAAATGGGTTGGCATTTACCCTGTGTAGTCCATATACCAAAGCCACCTCTACTACAAGGGCTCTTTGCCCCAGCATATGCAGATCCTTGGCCAATTTAACCTCTCTCTTTCTGGGAATGTGAAGAGGTGGTGCTTTTTTTTAGTTACTCTCCTTCCAGACCCCTCCAACCAAAGGTGTGTTCCTCTGTTATCTTTGGGAGTGTGCGTCTCGCAGTGCTCTGCTCTGCCATTGCCACTTCCACTTGTTCTGACACAGCTTCACACAAGCTTTGTTTAGATTGGATAAAAATAATACTGATGTCATTGGAAAATTGTATTGCTTTCCAAATTTGATTTTGCTCTCATTCTGGCTTTCTGTGCTTCTTCCATCCTGCTCTGTTTTTCCTCTCTGTCATGCACTCACAGACCTTCTTGCACACGCACAGGCACCATGCCACTCTGCTTCTTCATCACTTCATGGTAGGGAATGAAAAGAACATCTTTGGAAGTCCAGACCCGAGAAAAAGTAGACAAGCAACATCAGGGGAAAGGAAACGTCTTTTAAATTAAAAGTATCATTCAGCAGCTTTAATTTAATCTGCAGTATTAGTATATTAGTCAAGCAAACTGAAAAAAATAAAAATAAGAATAAATCATGTAGGACTGTGGAAAGGGAGGTGGATTTCCCAGGTATTTTCTCCTCCATTTGTGTGCTATTTTTTCCTTGGAAGGAAGCATGCATCATCAGCATGAGAGGGCACTGGGACGCTGATCCCTTCTGCCACCTCCCAAGGCATAAGCTGGCACAGAGCACTGCCTAAATTCTGGGTACCATTGCGCTGCTCACTCTATCTTGTGATTTTCCCAAACTTCTCTCTCTGTTCTCCTGGCATATTTATTTCTTCACAGCCTCAATACATAAACTGCTCATGCTGTTTTCTCACTGTGGAAGCTTTTTGCCCCGTACAAGCAGGTGATTAGCAGCCATTTCCAGAGACTCTTTGTTTTCCAGAGTTGCCTGCAAAATCCGTGGATCTGGCTGCTGTTAACCTGACCGAGCTGGTGAATGGGATGCTGAGCACGACACTCAGAGGTGACGTTGCAGTGGCCGGGGAGGTGACAGGCTGCCAGTGGCAGTGAAGGAGATAAAGAACTGGTGGTGGTAGCAGGAGAAGCCTCAAATGCATGCTGTCTGCTTTCAGAATTAATTCTCAGAGCAAGTTACACTTGCACATTTTAATGCAGACATCTGCCTACCCCAAAGAATTTATAAATTAGTGTGTACGTAGATAGGCACAGCATAATTACTTATGGGATGCCTTTAAAAAGCACTATATAATCCAGTGGAGGTTTGCTTGCTTGCTTGCTTGATTTATTTTAAGAAAGCAGTACTGATGAACCATCCCTCAGTGGTAATGAGAAGGAATTGAGTCTCAGGCATCTGCATCATATCAGTATCTCAGGAGTCTTTTTGAAATCAAATGAGCAGAGCCAAAACATTCTGTTTGCATAATTGGTTCCAACTGCTAATCACATGGGCACGTGTTTCTGCAGGTACCAAAAAGCTCTTCTCTTTGCTGAGTGTCACGTCCTACAGCTCGTTTGCCTTCCACAAAGTGTCAGTCACCATTTATAACAGTGAGTGCATTTGCCTGGTGCAGGAACTGTCCCCATCATGTGGCTGCACATCCAGACACCCATTTTCTCTGTTTCTCTACAGTTTCTAGCCTGAAAAATGTTGACCCTGGCAAGTTCCCTATGCATTACTGCTATTGTTTAAGCAACGTGACAAATGACTTGACAGGTTGGTATGCGAGAGAGGCTGGCAATCAAATAAGTATACCAATGGCCTCCTAGGTCAACTCCTATTCAACAGAAAAGTTCTGAACTTTTAAATGTTTCAAACATTTTCATGTACGAGCATGTATTCATGTTAATTTTTGCCAATGTCAATTTGGAATATGTGCTTCAGTTATAATTTTTCTGCTTTGTCGTCTAGATTTCACTGCTTTACTTGTTGATATTATTGGAAACTCAACCAGTTATCTCACAGAAATTTTCAAATCTACCTCTATTCTCTCAGGTTTGCATTTCTTCTTCAGTATTTATTGTTGCCTTATTTACATTATTTAGTCCTGGCATGGAAACAAGCATAGAAATGTATATAAAATCCTATTGCTCTAATTCAGCATCATTTATCTAGCAAAGCATGACCCATGGTTGTTAAAAAAAAAAAAAAAAAAAAAATCCTACTTAGAGAAAAAAAATACAGATAGGTTGTATATATAATACAGACACATAGCAGGAATATGCTTTTCTATGAGTATCTTTTCTTTCTGTCTTTGAATTTTCAGTACATTATAATTGAGTGTTGGTATCTAAGGAAATTTTGACCCCCAAGATGTACAATAATATACACAATATACGATATTTTCTGAGATTTATTTTCTTTGTAAACATACTAGTAATTTAGAATTTTAATTATATAGAAACATTTATCCAGGAAATATTGATATTTTGATTTCCTTGTCAAAGTGAAATCTGAAAGAAAATTTTTGTTCAGTTGAAGTAGCCACATACCATTTCAGTTTTACATTTTCAACTACTTAAGATGATATCTTGTAATGAAAGCTAGTAACAATTATCTATTCTGCATTTCTTTGTCTTTCAGTGCGTCAGAGCAATGATTCAGACTGTATCTACATCTGTGTGATGACAGGTCAAACAGGTAAATTCAAAAATCATTCCAACTCAATTATTGCCTTATTTACTTACAGTGATGACATATGAGAAACAAGTCCATCTTCATATTTTTAATCCTTTATGTTCGCAGGGAGAAATCTGTCTGACTTTTGGGAAATACTAGAGAAATCTCCTGTTATTAATTACACATTTTCCAGTAACACATCTTCTGACCTGGGTAAGCACATCCTGGGGAATAAAAAGAAACAGCAGCTACAGTGAAAACCACGTCTAGGTAGCATTTGCAATGAATGCTCTTGCAAAACTAAGTTAAA